TTACCAGATGTTGGTTCTGACACACAGCTAAGCAAGAAATGGCTATTCAGAGGGCTATAGCCTGAGAGAGGGAGGCCTCAGCATCCCCCCTCCACATCATCACTGCAGTGCAGCACCCCCTCTCCACATCACTGCAGTGCAGGATCCCCTCTCCACATCACTGCAGTGCAGCATCTCCACATCCACATCATCACTGCAGTGCAGCATCCCCCCTCCACATCATCACTGCAGTGAGCATCCCCCTCTCCACATCATCACTGCAGTGCAGCATCCCCCTCTCCACATCATCACTGCAGTGCAGCATCCCCCTCTCCACATCACTGCAGTGCAGCATCCTCCTCTCCACATCACTGCAGTGCAGCATCCTCCTCTCCACATCACTGCAGTGCAGCATCCCCCCTCTCCACATCATCACTGCAGTGCAGCAACCCCCTCTCATCATCACTGCAGTGCAGCATCCCCCTCTCCACATCATCACTGCAGTGCAGAATCTCCCTCCACATCATCACTGCACTGCAGAATCCCCCTCCACACCATCACTGCACTGCAGCATCCCCCTCTCCACATCATCACTGCACTGCAGCATCCCCTCTCCACATCATCACTGCAGTGCAGCAACCCCCTCTCATCATCACTGCAGTGCAGCATCCCCCTCTCCACATCATCACTGCACTGCAGAATCCCCCTCCACACCATCACTGCACTGCAGCATCCCCCCTCTCCACATCATCACTGCACTGCAGCATCCCCTCTCCACATCACTGCAGTGCAGCATCCCCTCTCCACATCATCACTGCAGTGCAGAATCCCCCTCCACATCATCACTGCAGTGAGCATCCCCCTTCTCCACATCATCACTGCAGTGCAGCATCCCCTCTCCACATCATCACTGCAGTGCAGCATCCCCCTCCACATCATCACTGCAGTGCAGCATCTCCCCTCTCCGCATCACTGCAGTGCAGCATCCCCCCTCCACATCACTGCAGTGCAGCATCCCCCTCCACATCATCACTGCAGTGCAGCATCCCCCTCCACATCATCACTGCAGTGCAGCATCCCCCTCTCCACACCATCACTGCAGTGCAGCATCTCCTCTCCACATCACTGCAGTGCAGCAATCCCCTCTCCACATCACTGCAGTGCAGCATCCCCCTCCACATCACTGCAGTGCAGCAATCCCCTCTCCACATCACTGCAGTGCAGCATCTCCTCTCCACATCACTGTAGTGCAGCATCTCCCCTCTCCACATCACTACAGTGCAGCATCCCCCTCTCCACATCACTGCAGTGCAGCATCCCCTCTCCACATCACTGCGCTGCAGCATCCCCCCTCCACATCATCACTGCAGTGCAGCATCTCCCCTCTCCACATCACTGCAGTGCAGCATCCCCCTCTCCACATCACTGCAGTGCAGCATCCCCTCTCCACATCACTGCAGTGCAGCACCCCCTCTCCACATCATCACTGCAATGCAGCATCTCCCCTCTCCACATCACTGCAGTGCCGCATCCCCCCTCCACATCATCACTGCAGTGCAGCATCCCCTCCACATCATCACTGCAGTGCCGCATCCCCCCTCCACATCATCACTGCAGTGCAGCATCCCCTCCACATCATCACTGCAGTGCAGCATCTCCCCTCTCCACATCACTGCAGTGCAGCATTCCCCTCTCATCACTGCACTGCAGTGCCAATCAGCCAACCAGCCTTTGCACATGCAGCTTCTTCCCGGAATGTCACCGACACATCTGTTCTTTATGCCTCGGGGTCCTCTTCACTCAGCAGGTGACTCTGCCACTTCATGACCCAAACAGCCAGCATATGGGGATTTCCTCAACCCGGAAACCTCCCTCATCTCTCTTTCCATCTAATCAGAGTAAAAGACGACATACCTACCCATCTCATACTTTTAGATCCCATGGCATCTATCATAGAAGTCTCACCCTGTAAATCGTTTCTAAGAAAACAAATGTAAACATGTTGTTTCAGCCATGCAGAAACACACACACACCCTTCAATGAGCCCATGTTCCCGTTAGCTGCTGTGTGTTCTCTTGGCTTCATCTGAGGAACTCCCGATTGTCTACACACCCACCTGTCCCTTCCTTGCTGCTGAGGAAGGAGCTGGGTGTTTAGGCCAAGGAGTCCCTAGGAAATCTGTTTAATCCCCTTAGGAGATGTATCGGGGTCACAGTTACCTTCAACTGTCAAATGAACACCAACCCAGGGCCACTGGAAAGAGGGAACCTCAACCGGAGAACTGCCCAGATCAGACTGACATTTCGCCATGTCCATGAGGCCCCTTCTTAACTGCTAATTGATGTAGGCACACTGAATGAGGTGCCATCCCTAGGCGGGTAGGCCTGGGCTGTGTAAAGTAAAATAAGATTTAAGTAGCTGAGCAAGCCTGAAGGAGCTAGCTGGTAACCAGTCAGTCTTCCTCCATTCTCTGTTTCAGTTCCGGCTCCAGAGTTTGACTTCCTGCTGTGACTTCCCGCTGTGGTGAACTGTGACCTTGAAGAGTAAGCCAAACAAACCTTTTCCTCCCCTCCCCCCCCCAGTTTCTGTTGGTCAGAATGTTTTATCACAGCAGAAGAGAAGCAAACCAGAGCAATCAGGAGAGCGTCCCCTTTGATGAAATAAAACGGCTGAGGAGAACAGCCCTCAGATACCTTCGTGTGAGGACGTGATATCTGGACATAATTTCCAAATCTTTAGACAACGAGAGACCACCAGGAGTATCCCAGAGAAATCAGCCAGTCTAAAACTGTGACCTGTATCCCTCTGGCTTCTGGTTCTGTGGTGTGTGTGTGGGGATACACGGCAGGGTTGAGTGTTACGTAGAAGGGTCTCCATTTGGTAAATCATCTTTCCCTAGGTTCGGAAATCACTCAGATACTGAGGATGAGGCCGCCAAAGTTAGACGGAGCAGAAGCAACTTTATTCCATCAATGTGGGTACGGTAACTTCTAACTAGTCAGGGTCACAGGCAGGTTGGGATCTGAACAGAGGGAGTAGGTCTTTTTTAATGCAAAAGCCATAAATGGGGGGAGGTCAGGAGTGGTATAAGAAAAAAAATTTATGATTTGGGATTAAGTCCTGGGTGACAGGTACATTCTGGGAATTTACAGCTTACGATAATATTTTACCATTCGTAGTACAATTTGTGTTACAGAGTGTTTGTACAAGCTCAATGGGGTTTTGCTCACACAAGTCTTTGGTTATCGTAGCACAGCTTTTGACACAGCTGGGGACTTGTCTTAATTTTTAACCAACTGTTATTGCGGCGACTGAGAACACAGGGCAGGAGTCAAGCAATAGAAGAAGCTGGGCAGGCGGGCTACTGTTCAGACCACTCGGGGCCCTTCACTTCATTTCAGTATCTCTATTTCTAAAGTCAAAGTTTCTGCAAAAAGACCTGCGCAGCAATACCGGCTACATCTGCTCCCTTATCGTCCATGCTGCCTTCAGTTCGCCAGAACCAGGTGTGCTGAGTTGTTTGTGGCCCTGTAAGAACTCTCATGAAGATTGCAGGGAAAATGCCAACCCTCGGGAGCATTTTTTTTTAGGCCTTCTCAGGTATAGACTCTTGGCAGCACCTTGCATCGCCTCTCACTGTAGAAAACTCGCTCTTCTCTGTACGTCTCTTTAAAGCCATCCCTCGGGGCTCCACTTACTCCTCTCACTGCATACTTCACAAGGTTAATCACACAGACTCCAGACACACATGCCTGGACCCAAAGAGCTTGGCAGGACACACGCAATTTGTAAAACACTTTTGGAAATTAATACAAATGACTGCCCATTTCAGGTGAGACTTAACTGTTTCTCTTTTCGTTGAGCAGTAGAACTGTCTTGGTAGAGAGCAATGGCTCTTGATTCTGAACATTAAAATGTATGGCAAGCGCCGGGCGTTGGTGGCTCACGCCTTTAATCCCAGAACTTGGGAGGCAGAGGCAGGTGGATCTCTGTAAGTTCGAAACCAGCCTGGACTACCAAGGGAGTTCCAGGACAGCCTCCAAAGCCACAGAGAAAACCTGTCTCGAAAAAACCAAAAAACAAAACAAAACAAAAAAATGTATGGCAAGCTATTTAATAGCCTAAGGCCATACACCTCAGCTATGAATTCAGATTTGCTGGAGATAACACTCAAACATTGGTATTTTTAAAAGTTCCCTAAACACTTCTTATTTGTGGCCAAAGTAGAGAGCTACTGGGTGAAACTGAACTTCTACTGTGTATCACAGTTCTTCCTCTGGCAAGGTACTAGCATAGACTTTAAGTTAATAGACCAGATCATGGTGACCCCTCCCTATCCTAGGTCATTTTCTTGTCTATTTGACACATACTGGAGTCTTCTGAGAGCAGGGAGTCTCAGTTGAAAAGCATGCCTCCATAAGTTCTGCCTGTAGTCAAGCCTGTGAGACATTGGCTTAATTAGTGATTGTCAGGGGAGGGCCCAGCCCATTGTGGGTGTGGCCATCTCTGGGCTGATCATCCTGGGCTCTATAAGAAATCAGGCTGAGCAAACCAGTGAGCAGCACTCCTCTATGGCCTCTGCATCAGCTCCTGCCTCCAGGTTCCTGCCCTGACTTCTTTTGAGGATGAATTGTGATATGCAGTGTAGGTAAAGAAGACCATTTCCACACCAAGTTGCTTTTGATCATGGTATTTTACCACAGCAAAGAAATCTTAAGACCCCGCCCTTCTGTTACTTAACTGACAGGAGTCTTTTTTTCAGTGCTGATGCTAGGTAAGTGCTCAACTGCTTCTCTGTAACTCTAGTAATTTAATTTTTATTTTTGTGAGACAATGATAATTACCCTACAGTATCTTGTGAAAATTAGTGAACTACTTACATATAGCTAACGTTGTAAATTGTGAAAGCGTGCAGGCATCTAGTAAAATGAACTTATTGACCATTGTAACAAAATGGAAAGCATTTCCTCTAATGCTATAGGGGGACATAAACTGTAAAGTTTATTGAGTCAGTAGTTAGGTCTCAGGCGGTCCAAATATCCAAAACTGAGCTCAGAATTTCTGGTGGTTAGACAAAAGCCAGCATTTCTCAGGAATTTGTGAAATCAGTCCCCATTTGGCCAAAGGAGTCATTTCCCTTACCTCTGGCATATGACAACTGTGGTGGCTATCATGTATCAAAGTCTATGCTGGCCTCCACGGTCCATCAGTATCACACGATTGCTGTTAAGCTTTCAAAGTCCCCACTAACATCCCGGTTCCTTCCTCGCCCAGCTACTCATCCTGCTTATAATTCTGCCCCTCATCCCTCTCTCTGCCCCCACTCTGGCTCCCGGCTCTATCTGTTGCTATCCCTTCGCTCTCTCCAAAAACTTTGTTCTCCTGCCATCTTGATGTCTCCACTATTCTCTTCCATTCTCCCGATTCCCTAGCCCTGGCCACGCCCACTCTGCTTTCTTTTCTCCCTGCTCTACACTCTTCCAGATGCCTCTGGATATTTTCTCTCATTTATTCACAAGAAAACCCTTCCCCTAATAACGGAGTACACATGTCCACAGCTTCCTTACTGCACCTCCTCACATACGTAAGTTACGCATGCATATTCTGATGTAGCAAAAATATGTTTAGTCTCCGCTATTAGTTCATGAAGTAGAGCTCCTAAATGCCTCTGAGTTTCCTGAGCCATACAGGATGTTTTATTCTAAGCAGTTGTCTCTTAGTGGGCACATAGGAAGTGTCAGGATGGGTGCTGGTCACCAGAAAAACCAAGTCACAGAGTGTACCGCTTCCAGGATGAATTAATATGTGATCACACTTGCATGATGAAGCCTCCATAAAGATCCAGAGAAAAGTTCTGTATCAAACCTATCATGTGCCTATCACTGATGTTTGCCCAGCTCCACAAGCGACAGAAGGGTCTGTGTTCCGGATCCTTCCAGACTTCACACTAAGTTCTTCACAAGCCATTCCCCTGTATGTTTTAGCCTCCTTCACAGTGAACCAGCAGGTGAATTTCCTGAATTCTATGTGCCAGCGCAGCGAATCATCAAGCCAGAGGAAGGGGCTGTAGCAACCGCCATAGGTATGCAAAGTCAGAAGCAGTGTGAGCGCCTGTGCTCGCTGTGAGCATCTGAAGCAAGAGCAAGGGCGTGAGATTGAGCGGCACAGTCTGCGGGGCCTGCCCTGACCTCAGCGTCAGAGATGGAGTGCTGCAGGGAGGAAAACCAAGGGACTTCCCTTTTAGTGCCAGGTGCTGAGAGGAGCCTGGAGGAAAGCATTTTCCTTATATATGAACCCAAGCAGGGAGAGATGGAAACTGATACGTTTTCATGTGCTTAATCTTTATCTTGATTCCCAGGTTTGACGGGATAGGATGGCAATGAGGCCATTGTGCCTCTCTGTCCTCTCTGGGTTCCCCTTAACATGCGCTCAGCAGCTGTGGTTACAGCATACGGCCCATCAACAGTCAAGGGAGGGCAGCAGTATTTAGAGACTGAAACTGAAGGAAGACAGAGGAGGGGACAATCTGTTCTCAAAGTCAGCCCAGGAAGGGGAACAGAGTGAAAGGGAAAAAAAAAAAAAAAAAACAGAAGGCAATGCCTGTCAGTGGCAAGGGTTATCCTGGGGTTGGGGGAAACAACTGACCACATAAAACCTGTGTTTTGTTTATTATTGTGGGTTTTGGTGGTGGTGGTGGTGGTGGTGGTGTGTGCTCAGGTGCTTATATGGGCCAGGCTGGCTTTGAACTCACTATATTGCTGAAGATGACCTTGAGTTTCTGATCCCCCTGCCTCCACCTCCCTAGTGCTAGAATTACAGGCATACAGCACTTCAATCCCTGCTTTATGTGGGAGAGCTGGGGACCAGCAAAGCCCAGGACTTTACACGCGCCGGACAAGGACTCAACCAACTGAGTTACCACTCCAGCCGACCTCTCACAGTCTCGACTGGTGACCGAACCGTGTCAAGGGCATTGGCAGGGTCACACTCAGAGCAGTTTTGCAGAAGCAAATGCTCAGCCCTGCGCTGGTCCTGGTGCTCCAGGACTGCACACCTACCTGGAGGAGAGACTGAGATTTACTGTCCTGCCGTGTCTCCCAACAAAACATCATCATCTAAAGCATCTGCACACTGGCTGTGACCTCCAAGTCTCACTCAAGTGGACCCCAAGAAGCAAAAGGTAAAGAGAAACACAGTCAGCAATCTTCTGGAAGCTGCTGTGCAGGATGCAGTCTGGGAGAAGGGACCGGCAGATGCAGTAAATATGGGCATTGCAACAACATGCACTTACTGCTCTCCACCTGAAGGGCAGGCAGGGGCGGTGAGCCTCCTGCACAGCCTTGCAAGTAAGGAAGGCAGCAGCTTTGGGAAAGGTAGCTCAGACATTTGTATTTGTTTTCAATGCTGGTTGTCAAGCCAAGGGCTCAGGCACACTAAGCAAGTGCTCTACAGGCAGCAAGCAGCTCAGTAACCGGGAGATTCCAATCTGGTTTGACCTGGGCGGGTCTACTCAGGTGCCGGCCTCTTTATCTCTAAGGAGAAAGGTTATAGACTACCTGGCCAGTTCTAAAGTGCTAACATGCTAAGAGAATAGATGGCCTATCTTTTAGATAATGTATACAGTACAAGAGAGTCTGGCACACCCTTTCTCCAGTATCTCCAAAGATGGGCATCTTAGAAAACAGCAGGGCATTTAACAAAGCCAAGGCTCTGTGGCATCCTGATATGAACAGGAAGTAACCTTGAACAACTCTCGGGGTAATTCTCTTACAACCACTGGGAGTAAGGAAAGTCCCTTCTCTCCCAGCGCTGCTGCGTGAGTTAAACAAACCGTGGTGGGTGAGTTGTGGTTTTGTTTTTGTTTGTTTGTTTGTTTTTTTGTGTTTTGTTTTTTTTGGTTTTTCGAGACAGGGTTTCTCTGTGGCTTTGGAGGCTGTCCCTGAACTCACTCTGTAGACCAGGCTGGCCTCAAACTCATAGAGATCCGCCTGCCTCTGCCTCCCGAGTGCTGGGATGAGCTGTGGTTTTATACTCTGAATTGCCACTCATTACAACAGCAGTAATGGACAAAAGGTAATTTTTACTTTTTTTTTTTTTTTTTTGGTTTTTACGTGGCAGGGTTTCTCTGTATTGTTTTGGAGGCTGTCGGTCCAGCCCAGCCTCGAACTCACAGCGATCCACCTGTCTCTGCCTCCCGAGTGCTGGGATTAAAGGCGTGTGCCACCACCGCCCAGCTAATTTTTACTTTTTTTAATAACTGAATTAGTCAACATTGCTTCTGACACTGCACATAAAAGCCACAAGCGCTAACCTATTACAGTGTCGAAACACAAGTTTGCACAGAGATATAAGATTTTAAAAATGTGTTCATTTAAGCTGGCCCTCTTGTCAGCCTTACTGGAGTGATGAGCCCTGTGCCAAGCCAGCAGCGTGTTACCCCTGAGGGGTGACACTTGGGGTAAGCTCGGTCCTAGACTATGCTACAGAAAAAAATTTCAGGCTTAGTCAGAGTAAAGCAATCATTAAGGTTATTAAGTTAAATGGTAGTATGGACTTAAAATTTAAGCGGGGGCATTGAGAGGGAAACACATACAAAAGGCTATACACATCCAAGACACGGGTACAAGCTTTTTGCTCAGAGAGCAGAATTTTCAAAAGATTGAAAAATTAAGCAAGCTAAAACAGTGAGTTTTGTAAATGCAATTGTGAGGTGGTTTGTGAGGCATGTTCTTTAGGCTTAGGGATGAGAGAAGAATGCTTATACATTAAACTCTAGGCCTCAAATAATCTGGGTCTCATTAAACATGGTTTATTTGTTGCTTGAAAATGCCTTTGGGAAAGGGCTTTATCTGTGTAGGAAATCTTTTGTTGTTATTGTTGTTTTGGTTTAGTTTTTTTTATATTTTATATTTTTTTATTTAACTTTCAGTTCCCCCTCACTCTCCTCCTCCCCCACCCCCAATCCTCCCAGCCCCTCACCCCCACTCCATACCCCCTCCGCTCCCCAGGGAGGGCAAGGACCTCCATGAGGGATTTTCAGAGTCCTTCACATCATCCCGGCAGGGCCTAGGTTCTTCCCCATGTGTCCAGGCTGAGAGAGCATCCCTCCACGTGATATGGGTTCCCAGAGTCCTTCTGTATGCCAGGAATAAATATTGCTCCCCTCTGCAAGGACCCACAGATTACCAAGGCCTCCTCTCTGTCACCCAGGTTCGATGGGAGGGATGTCTGGACCAGTCCCATGCTGGCCCCGCAGTCTTCAGTCTCTGTGTAGGCAATCCTGGCTCTATCAGTTGTCTTCAAGTGTTTTGACTCTTAGCCAGTAGGAAGAGCAAACTGTGTCTGGGACTGAGGGACTTCACTCCCCTCCCAGGCCCCCTTAGTCCCCTCTTTCTATCCTGCCTTACTCTCGGGGATGGCCACATGGACTCGAGCAAACCACTTAGAGAAATCCCATCTCCCTTGCCCTCCTTTCTTCTCCTCTCCTCTTCTCTCCCCTTCCTCCCTTTCTCTGTACTCTCTGCTCACGTTCTCTGTCTGTTACCCCCTTTCGGCACACGCGTGCGTGCGTGCGTGTGTGTGTGTGCGCGTGCGTGTGTGTGTGTGTGTGTGTGTGTGTGTGTGTGTGTGTGTGTGTGCGCGCGCATGCGCTGAGGGGTGTTTGAAGTCTCTCTCAAAAGCAGTCTCCCCATAATAATCTGATGTTTTTATGCTGAAGATCGGCAAAGCCCAGAACAGTACAGGAAGCCCAAACCTGATAGCTGGCTGCAGGCAACCTTCCCTTCCCACATAGTTGCTCTCTAAATAGACACAGCAACGGTGCTATCTAATTCTTTTCTTAGAATAATGCCACCTGTTTACTTTTCAGATGACGCGGCATGCAACCTTCTTGCTTAAAAACCAACGTTCATAGTAAAACGGATATAAAGCAGTCAGTGGTACTTACGCTTACCACCCTGTAATGCTCAGCTGGGTCGCAGGGCAGAGACTAAGTATCTAGGGAGGGCTCACCTATAAGTGGGGCATCTGCATCGCATCCCCGACCCCTAAGGCTCAGCAAAGGGATGGAAAGGCTAGAGAGGCTGGCACGAAGCAGTCTTGTAGCACGGCAGGCTGTTGACTCATGAGCTCACAGAATCTGTGGTTGCCTGCCGATGGCCTGATGGGTAACGTAGTTCACTGGCTTTGTAAGTGTAGAGATACAGAAAAGTAGAACCTGGGAAGTAGGCTCTGTTGGTAAGGGGCCCTCTGCTCAAACACAGGGACCAGAATTCTGACCCTAACAACTACATAAAAAGTGACTGTGAGCCAGGCAGTGGTGGCGCACGCCTTGAACCCCAGCACTCGGGAGGCAGAGGCAGGTGGATCTCGGTTCGAAAAAGTGAAAAAAAAAATGAGTATGGTGGTTCATGTTTATAAACTCGTAAGAGGCAGTGACAGGAGTTTCCTTGGGCTCATTGGCCTAACTAACCATCCAGTTTAGCTAATGAGGCAACTCCAGGTTCCTGCTCCAAAACTTACGGTGGAGAGCAATAGAGGAAGACACTCTGACCTCTGACCTCAATGCTCACACAAACAGATGCACCCCACCCCACCCCACCCCCGCACACACACAATTTTTAAAGAAATTATCTTGTAATTATGCAGCATGCATAATTTTTTCTAAAGTTATTTGTCTTCTTAGAATAAAATATTAGCACCCCTCCCCTTGGCTGGGCTCCTTGGTAATCTCTACAGTGAGAGCAAGCATCTGCTCCCGAGCTTTATTTAGGGAAAAAGGTATTAACTATGAGACTGCAGGAAGGGAGAAACCTCATCTATGCCACCCAGCATGCTGTCTTCTCATCCCTCTCCTAAGACCAACATAAGCACATCTCTAAATCTCTAATGCAAATGACTTCTTCTGCCAACAGACTTCCTGGTGCTGTGACCTCCCAGAAGACCGCGCACCCCAATCCTGTGATGGTGACTGTGGAAGATCTCACAGGGTTGTAGCTCAGTGGCCGAGTGCTTGCCTGCCCTCCGTACGACCCAGAGTTCAAGTTCCAGCACTTCTAGCTCCCCCACTCCAAATCACTTCTGGAAGGTATTCGATGACTTGTGGAGAACTCACTGAGGAAAGCTTTATTCAGAACAAGAAAACCAATAAAGGGGCTCTACAGGGGGAGAGAAAGTCTGGCCTCTGTCTGTGGAATATTAGTTTAAGATGTGTTACATTCATTTATGCTGTGGAATATTTATTTAATGATGCCAAGATGTGTTGCATTCTTTTATGCTGCATTTGTTTAACTCCGTAAAGCTGTGTCACTGTGCCTGTCTAAATAAAGGGATGAACTTTATTAGAACTTTATTAGTAGCTAGGCAGGAGAGAGAAGCAGGCAGGGCTGGTGGGCAGAGAGAATAAATAGGAGGAGGAGTCTAAGGAAGAAGAATGAGGGATGAGAGAAGGAGGAGAGGAGGATGCCAGGAGCCAGCCACTCAGCCACACAGCCACAGAGTAGGAAGGAAAGAAAGACATAAAATAGAGAAAGCTAAAAAGCCCAGAGATGAAATGTGGTTAAAGAGAAACAAGGTAATCTAAGTTAGAAAAGCTGGCTAGAAACAAGCCAAGTTAAAGCCAGATATTCCTAAGTAAGACTAAGTCTCCGTGTATTAAGCCGGGCGTTGGTGGTGCACGCCTTTAATCCCAGCACTCGGGAGGCAGAGGCAGGCGGATCTCTGTGAGTTCGAGGCCAGCCTGGTCTACAAAGCTAGTTCCAGGACAGCCTCCAAAACAATACAGAGAAACCTTGTCCCGAAAAAAAAAAAAAAAAGTCTCCATGTATTTATTTGGGAACTGGGTGGTGGCCCTCCAAAGCGTAAAAAGAAACCAACTACAGGCTTCAGTTCTGAATGCATTATGAAGTAGGGATTTATAGCTCAGGAAAAGAATGTGGCTTAGTGAATAAAAGCTCTCCAACTGTTATTTACCAGGAGTAAATAGATAAAATACGCAGGCATAGATTTCTGCTGAGGACAGCCCACGGTGGTCAGACTTTACCAAGAGCTGGCTGAGGATGAGGAACAAATCAATGGGTGAGATGAACTAGCAAGACTTTTTATGTAAAATTCAGTTTCATACGGAAGCATACAGGTGGGTGGGGGAGAATGTTTAGGAGCCTGAGTAGTTTTGTGAAGCATCACAACTTTGTCAGCCACCAAAGATGGAATGTTTACATCTTCCCAGCACTCATATGGCAAAGACACAATCCCACTGTGATACCATTGGAAGGTGTGGCCGTTAGGTCAATTGAATCATAAGGTGGAACATTTATGAATGAGATTAATGCCCTTCAGACAAGAAACTTGAGATCACCTCTCTACCATGCAGGGTACAGCAAAGCAGCCATCGAATGAACCAGGAAGGGAGCCCTCACTAGAATCTAACCATGCTGCCATCCTGATCACAGGATTATAGCTTCCAGAACTGTGAGGAACACGCTCTTGTGGCTGAATACACAATGAAAAGGAATGAACTGGGGTTAGAGAGATGGCTCAGAGGTTAAGAGCACCAGCTGTTCTTCCAGAGGACCTGAGTTCAATTCCCAGCAACCACACAGTGACTCATCACCAGGTATAATGAGATCTGGTGCTCTCTCCTGGCGCGCAAGCATACATGTAGGCAGAGCGTTGTATATGTAATAAATACATGTTTTTAATAAAGGAAAGAAAAGGAATAAACCAGATACCCAACAAAGATGAGTCTCACAAACACAATGGGGCACAGTAACAACCCGATGTAAATTTGATAGATCTGGTCATGGACACGTCAGTGCCCAGTCTGGATATCCTCAGGCCACAAGCCAGTCCAGCATCTAGTGTTTTCCTGTTGCTAACCTGCTGCGGCTGCTCAAGGGACGGCCAGGGGTGCTGGGGACCCCAGATGATGAGGCCAACCCTGTAGCTTCTTCCCTGCTTGGACTGCATGACCCTAAGGCACAGGTTCTGCTTTGGCCCTCAGACTACTTGATGTGACACAGCTGCCCACTGTGTCACCTTTTTGATATTTACTCTACATTCTCTGCACACCCTTTCCCAACTCAGTTCCCCACTTTCCTCCAAGATCACTGTGACTCATAAGCCTAAATAAATCACTTGTAAAAGAACCCGCCCCCTTAAAGGCTTTAAAGGCATGCTTTTGCGTAAACAAAACTCAGAGTGCATACTTCCATTTGTGTCAGAGTCAAACTAGCAGGCTGGCAACATTATTGTGAAGGGGAGGTAGGTAGCTTCATGGTGCTAGAGAAATGAAACTGGACTGCCTGGGTTTACAGCTAATAACTGTGGTGCTTGGAGCTGGCCACCTGACCTCTCTGGGCCTCATTCCCTCACCTATTGATGAAGGTTTATTTTATTTTATTTTATTTTACTGTCACCTTCAGATTTTGTTTCATATATATATTTGGTTGTGAGCCTAGCCTGTAACAGCTTAGCTATCCCTCCAGTCTTTGTTCTTTTTTTTAAATTAATTTTACTTAAATGAAAAACAATGTTATTTTACATATGAATCCAGTTCCCTCTCCCTTCTGACCTCCAATTCCCCCACTAACCCCCCCACCCCACCGCCATGCACTCCTCAGGGAGGGTGAGGGCTCCATGGGGGATCATCAAAGTATCAAAGTCTGTCAAACCATTTGGGGCAGGGCCTAGTCCCTCCCCATGTATCTAGACTGAGAGAGTATCCCTCCACAGGAAATGGGCTCCCAGAATCCATTCGTGCACTAGGGATAACTAATCCCACTGCCAGTGGCCCCATAGACTGCCGAGGCCTCCTAACTGTCACTCAAGTTCAGGGGGCCTGGTTCCGTCTTATGCTAGTTCCCCAGTTGTCAGACTGGGGTCTGTGAGCTCTGATGGAGATTTTAATAGTAGCATTCGCCGTATGCAATCACACATGTGAAGGGTTTAGATGGCTTGCTCCCTGCTACAACTTTGAGATGGCTGTTACGGAGGATTCATATACATGCATTCAAACCATAAGAGAAGCATTAACTGAATGCAGTTACCCCGGACGTGGAGGGGCATGACAGGTCCAGGGAGGGACATATGAGAATCTCAAAGGCAGTACTCACGTTCTATTGTTTTTAAGCTTAGGGATTTACTTAGGTTGTGTTGTTGCCATGCTTCATAATCAGTGCAATTTATACCTTTGTACAACCAAACATTTCATGATTTTTATAAGTCTGGAAAAAAAAACAACAAAAAACAAAAGCAGTCTCCATCAAGTCCTTCCCAATGTGTGACTCTGTGGATGGGGTGCTCTGCTCTCTGCTCTCCCTGCCTCAGCGGCAGTCAGCTGCCCAGGAGTTTCCCCTGGCCTCTCTGCTCTGCTGGGGCGGCCCCTTACACAAAGCTTTCTTCAGGATGCTAGCTTGGAAATGTCCTTGTAGCCCAAATCTCGGGATATTTCCTTGGGCTTTAATGATCTTGTTTTGTAAAATCCTCGCTGCACTTAAAACATTGGTATTCCTTTATTTACAGGAGGAAAAGATTGCTTGTGAAAAAATGTGTAGTCACACCATCATTCCACTATGAGCAGGACTAGCTTGGTGCATTTTCTTTAATTGCACGCCCCTTCTTCATTTGAGGGTTTTTGTCTTCACCTACTCCACCAACTCCCTAAGGCTTTCGGCACTTCCTTCTTCCTGTTCAGGGCACTGACACTGATGGAGCCCACTGTTGTCTGTGAGGGGGGATTTTTGATAGCAAGATTAAGACTAGCTTCTCTGGGCTAGGAGTCCATTCCCGGTCCATTTGGCCATGCCTACAATTTCAGCAGCCCTTGTCTTGCTCCCCAGTGGTGGGTCCTCGGGATAGTATTATGCTCTAGCTAGTACTGTGGTGCCCTCTCTTGGATACTTTATGCATTACAAGAACCTTCGTTTTCTTTCAAGATTGTCTTGAAACACTAACTCAGGATGCTGAAATCAATAAGACGCTGATGACCTGAACTTTAAGAATGGGGTAGAATATAGTGGAATACAATAGCACATGGCATTCACCAACATTAAGTGTTGCTCCGTGACATTTTTCGTTTCAGATGTGTTTGCATGCAACAGTGTATATGATTTTTACCAACTGATAAGACATTGAAATTCATGCCCACCTGCACAGCAGTATGGGTGCTAGCTAACCTTTTTATCTCTTATCTTATGGATGGGTTATGTTGGGATGTGATTTTTTTAGTTGTTAAAGATAGTCATGTCAAAAGTTTCAAAGACCGAGGGCCAGTGATGGGTAATGGTGCCTCCTGCCGGGCCCGATGACTGAGTTCAGTCTCTGGGACCCGGCTGGAGGAAGGAGAGAATTGATTTTTCTGACTTTTACATGGTCACCTTGACACGTGTGTGCCCACATTCACATTTGTACACAAGCACACAGTAATAAACACAAAAACTCAAAGGTACTATTACCACACCCACACCTCAATGTGGTTATCCATCATAGTTTGTCATTTGAAAGATTTTAAATTAGCATATACAACACTGAGTTTTATTGTGGCATTTTCTTCTAAGCCTGCAAAAAAGCACATGTTCTCTCCAGTACATAGAGCAGCATTACAGTGTTGTTTTGCTTGTTTATTTCTTTTTGATACAGGGTTTCTCTGTGTAACTTTGGAGTCTGTCCTAGAACTCACTCTGTACACCAGGCTGGCCTCAACCTCACAGGGATCTCCCTATCTCTAACTCCCAAGTGCTGGGATTAAGGGCATGCACCACCATTACCCTGCCAACATGTGAACTTTTAGTCTCTTACCCTGCTTAATATATTTTACAGATCTGTTCATTTTCCTGATTTTGCTTTTCTTTACAGCTGAATAAAATTCAATTGCGCACGTATGGTACATTTTCATTATCTGTTCACCTGCCAATAGACACCTGATCTGGCTCCATTTTCTTGCTTTAATGCAGTGACATGAGTGCAAGTCTTTTGGGTGTATGTCCATGAGTTATATCTGGGTCATATGGTAATCCTGATTTTAAATATGTTTAGAACACTCCTTACTGGTTTCCACGGATGTACTAAGTTACAGTCCTGTTAGTCAGAAATAGGGGCTCCTCTTTCTGCACATCCTCACCAGGATCTCTCTCTCTTTCGTTAATCATAGCATTTTGACTGGGGTGAGACAGTCCCAAAGTAGTTTTATATTTAATTTTTCTGGTGACTAGGGGGTGTTTCCTC